AATATAATATTATTATTATAAAATTTTTACAACTAACAAATTGTAGAATAGAAAAAAAAAATATCATTATAAGTAATTTAGCCAAAACTTATCATTAATCAAATTTGGGTCATGACACCAATATTTATGTATATACTTATAGAATGTTCTAAATAAAAAATTCAATCAATCAACTTACATTAAACTTATAGTATTCTCTTTAAATTCTAAATAATTTTTTTATTATGTTTTTTAAATTCTATTATTAAATTATCAAAGTTTAGAAAGCACATTGTAAGTAGTAGATTAATCTTAACTAAGGTTGAAACTATAACAACTATAATAATAATATTATTTAATAAATTGGTTGTATTTTGTGGCTTACTAAAAAAATAATTATTAGCAAGATAGACTTGTAATACTACACAATATTTTAGCAACATGTAACACAAAAAATAATGCTAAAAATGATAACATTAATTTTCTTGTATTCAAAAAGAACAGCCAAATTTTATAAAAAAAAAAATACTTGGATGATGCTAGATTTAAAGATAAATTTAGTTCTACATTCTTAATTATCAAAAACATACTGTGGATAATTGAAATTGAGCTAATAATTGAAATGACTAAATTTTAAATCAAAAATATTACAAACCTTAATGATTGTAATATAAAACTAAATATTATAAGTGATCATAAAATATAATGAGCAAAAGTAGTAAAATTGTTGGACTATTTTGGAGCTGTACAAACTTTTTTAAATATAATATTTTTTTTCTACAATGAAGAAATTAAGAAATTAATTGTGTGCATATTTTCGTGTTATTTTGGTGAAATGGTTCATGAGTAGCAAGAAAGTGTTGCTCCATGACTTCCACAATTGCAGCGACGAGGGTTAAGGGTTTAGGGGGGATACTGTGTTGCTACTGTGTGAAGGAGAAGGAGAAGAAGAAGAAGGGCATGTGGAGAGGAGAGGCACCATGCTTGCACTGCACCATGGTTTGCAATTCACCGTATGTTTGAAACGATAGAGAGAGAGTTGGATTGCTCCATCGCTCGCTCGCTCGCTTGCGATACCATGCCATGCGATGACATGCGTGCTTGAGGTTGCACGTGGTTTTAGAGCATTTTCAAAGCCTTGTTGAGAGTCTGTTTGACTCTCGTGCATAGGATCCTCGCGCTGAGAAACATCTTGCTTGACGAGGACTTGCAATGCCACGTGCTTTCCAGGTGCTTCCCTAGAACCATTTTCTTTGACAATGTCCGCTCCTGTGCGCGGTAGCAATTGTTGTGTCGATCCGGCGTGCCTCGTAAGTGCCGTGTGGTGCGACAAGGTTGGCGCATTCAGCGGAGGCGTGGTTCCGGTGGTGCTCATTGCTGGCTAGAACGCAACTCAGAAAGGAGTTGCCCTGGTGGCTTCGTGCAAAAATTTGTTTCCGTTCGAACCTAAGAAGGAATTGGTATGGTGAATTGGTGCAAAAGTTTCTCTCAACCAGAATCCACCAAGCGTTAAGTGGATCTCAGCATGATTGACATGCGTATTAGCCATTACAGTTACTCCGTTTCGCAGCTGCATCGAAGGAAAGTTTCCCTCACATGCGTCTATAACCTGCTGAAGAATCGGCCCAGCATGAAAGACATTGTCATGCTGTCACACAATGACAAATGCAGGGGGATTACCTAGCTCCAGACGCACCAGCCGCGAGATAATGATTCCTCAATTTCTAGTGAGGTTTCTCTCAAATACAAGAGATTTAAAACAGTCTCTCATGCGGAATCGCAGCACTTGAGCCCAGGACCTTGTGTACAGGCTTCTTATGCCGTTGACGTTTAGCTTTCTTGTGTTTAACGTTAAATGTAACATTCAGATAAACCGTTTGCATCTCTACCTTGGCGGCTGCCGCCTTCGACGTATCCTATCAGAGATAATGCAATTCTCAGATGGTGCACTTTCGAAAACAACTAGAGGATTTCATTGCGTCTTGAAACCGGGCAGACATTTAAAACCATGGCGTTGTAGAATACGAAAGCAACCCTTCACAGCGATTTCCAGTGGAAAATGTGCTTACAGTAGTGTTGCAATACAAAAAGCATTCGTGAAGTTACTTTAAATACTTGGGAGAAGTTCTTTTGGTTGGAGGGGTGGTACATGTCTCGAGGAATTAGTACAAAAGGCCTATCTGTTCATGATAGTCGAAGGAGTCACGGTTGGATACTTGCTCTTCAGGATGAGGATGAGAGGACTCTGGTCGAGTATCATGGTTATTAATATCTCCTCTCAACAGGAACGAGCAAAGGGTGCACTTTCTTGCTTGCACATAAAAATGAGAAGAAAAGGAAATAGGCGAAATTCACAAATCTAACATTGCACTATTTGTCGACACTATCACACTGTTGTCTGCGAATTGTTGAAGGTTCAGGAAAAAGATTATGGTAAATTATATGTCCAAAGACAGAAGCTTCAGTATGTACTTAGTGCAAAGAATGGACGAAATCCTCTGGAACAGCTCGCAGCAATCAACGGGTGTTTCGCCTCCCAGAGAACTCAATTCGAAGGGACAATTCACAAGTATGTCCACTGCAAATGCCTACATCTATGGTTTCGACACGAAACCATTATTACCCTCAAGTATTATTATTATCTCAGGAAACTATGCTCACAACCACGAGCAGTCTAATCTGACAGGAGGTTTATCTGTTACAACTTTCTGCCCGTGAGCTTGTTGTACACTGGGCATGGTGAGGGTTGTAATGTTGCTGGATCTGCTGCTCAGCCCCATCTTCGAATGAAATCATAGTTACAGTAGAACCCTTCACTCTTAGCTACCCATTGGCACCCATAATAACTGTTGCAATTGCAACGAGAGTTCAACACATCAAATGTCGCAGTTCGCTTGCCAGCTGCCTCAAAGACGCACAAATAAGATCCTAGGTACTCCTTGGCAATATTAACAGAGTATTGCTGCTCAGAGTGAACTACGCGAACCCCCAAATCTTGGTTGGATTTTCTGCAATGGACCTTGAGCTCAGAAACAGGTTTTAAACCATTTCCAATACTTACATATGCTCCTTCTACTGTAAGCATTACCTGCAGGAGTGAGGATACCAGGACCACAACAGCGAAGATGAGGTTAGTCACCTTAGAACTCAACATTGCCATGGTAAGAATCTGGGGCAACTTGATCTCCTTCCTGTTTCATGTAAATCAAAGTCTAGTTCGTCAATTGCTTGTAAACCAGTCGATGTCTAATTTGAAGAGTGTTCTACTTTCAGTCTCAGAACTGAACTTCCCTAGAGTGGATCTGATATTAAAAACTGACCAAACTGCATGCAACGGTAGGCTCAATTGCAAAAGAAGATGGATTCGCCACAGCATCAAATTAATTTGAGCAAGGGATACTGTAGGTACAAGTTAGAAGATATGGACCATGACACTCAAGAGCAGAGTATGTTGATTAACGCGAACTCTGAGAGCGTGAGAGAATCTGCTGGATCTTGACTACATTGTTCTACACTTCTGACGAACGCTCCAGGTAAGGACCGCCACAAGGATTGTCGAGATACTTTGAAGAGAGGGGCATATATATGTGGGTATATATATATACATATACGCACACACACACACACACATTGATAGATATATAGATAGATATTTTTGCCCGTGTCTTTTTAAGGAAGCGACAAGGACAGGGCTTCTACTGGTAAATTCGGGCTAGTGTTGTGACTGCTCAGGGATACGGATTAGGATACTTCAGTGTGAACAATTGTACGTTGATTGTGATGTGCCTGCTACCCTTGTGAATCTTAATGCCTGTAGATTAAAATGGGCGAATAATATCATAATCGTGAGGGTCCATGGGATACTAATTTTATTTCTCTGCGGGCGGTGTTGTTTGACATTGAATAATTAAAAGACGTTCAAGCAACTGTAGCTGAAGATGCATGATCTTTCTGTTATGTAAATTTTACCAGTGCGGGTGGACTACAAGGTTTTGCTTCTTTCATTATCATTTTTCGTGAATCGCATGTGTTTTTTTGGTGCTTTTATTGCTTCTTGATGCAGGTTTCGGTCTCTGATAGAATTAAACATATAAGATCTTGTAGGTGTGAGGCATGTGATTACATTATTAGTTGCAGATAATCCTGGTTGCAGTTTTGCTTCACTTGGTAATTTCTCCACTGAACTGAAACCAAAATCAAAGCAATCAGAATCCGACCCTTGACTTTCACCTGTTTCGTGCTCATAACGCTTACTTGTGTTTTTATCCGGAGCGCATGTTGGGAACAAGTCTTGTCACGAGAAGAAATCAAGTAATAGATGCAAACTGCTCACAGCGTATCAAACGGATGGATGCTGATGGCTAAGTGTTATGCAAGGAAACTCTGATCAAGGGGCATCAGAATGCGTTACTGTAGAATACAAGATAGGGTAAGAATTGATTGAAGTCCCATTCCAGACGTACCAATGAGCATCATGTAGTCTTTGTGATGGAAGCATCCATTTATGTAATCAAATCTGCTTTGTAGAACTGGGTTTCATCTCAGATGTCTGATGTCCGCAACAAATATGACATGGTCAGTGTCAATCAACTTCGGCATATCGAGATAGAACCGAGTAGCTACAGCTGCTAACTGGCTTATCACTTCTGCGAAATGTGAATCGGACCGATCATCTTTGTCTCGAATCTTCATGTGAAGTCATTTGCAATTACTGTACAGGCCGAGACATACTTTCTTACTTGCCGGGACTGCGGAGAGATCGGAACAGTGGAGAAGCGATATTGTCGTCTTACAGCTCCCTAAGAAGTTCGAAACTGGGATTTTGACCAGACTGCCTCAGATACTGTAAGAAGTTGCATTTGTTAGTGGTAACCAACTAAGTTCCCACAGTGATCAGTTGTCTTAGTGCCAGAGAACTATTGTAGAGTGAGCCAGCAAACCCATTGTACCATACGAGAGCCAATCATTACACAAATCTTCCTTCGACAGTCAAATTTACAACAGAACCAGGACAAGAAATGGTCAGTCAAGTACTCGTAAACTGGAATTCTTGTCCAAAGCATACTTTGTATACATGGATATGGTACAACTATTAATGGTTTAGGATGACCAGATCCAGCACGAGGTTTTCACATTACAATATCACCAAGAATTATACCTAAATAATTCCCCGCGTCGACCTCATCCTTGAGGAAAGCTGATCTACTCTATATATGTACATCATACAACTACTTGTTTCTCCTAGTCATTGAGAAGATGGCATGCCCATCGGAATGATCGGTAATAGGTTCAAGACTCACAGTTCCTCCACGAGCAACCCAACTTTGAGAAGGTAGCTGGTTGCAAGAACAAAACGAGGGTGTAATGGAAATTGGATCAAACAATGCTGGATTGGAGAGGAGCGAGCTCTTGCGAGGTCAGAATTGAGGTTGACCTAGAGTGCAACGTTCGGTAATCACCACAAGGAGATTCGCACTGAAGAAGTGAATAGCCTTTCAATCCTTTCAGGTCCACCACTACATCGCTAACAAATACTATAGGATTCTTGACGTCTTTACCATCAGGAAATCGGCTTCCCTCTTTTACACTCTGCTCACAAGAGCTAGGAAATTGATTGTCTCTCCTGCTACCAGATTCAATACTTGAGGAGAGATCTCCACAACTTCGTTGTCGAAGCTGCAGCCGTTCGTAATCAATCATGGATGAAAATAGGCCGGGCCCCTTGGAGGACGTTACTGACGGCTGGGTGTGACATGCTACCCGTTGAAAGTTGGGGCGCATGTGGAAAGTGTCCTCTAGCTTATTTGGTTTCTTGACGAGGTCATCACTGGAGGCAAAATCAGACATTCCTGGATTCTGCACTATCACCAACATTGGCTTGTGGGTACCTCCGTTTTCAGAGATCGAGGCTGGCTGAAGGATGCAACAATAGCTGTCAGAAGTTGCTAAGAATATTGGGCATATCGGTTCTTCCTGGTGTTTACAGGTGAAAGTTGTATAGTTAACCACGTTTCAATCCGATGAATTTGTTTGTCATTGAATCGTGAGTCATAATAAAAAATTTAAATCAGGTTTCTTAGAATCAGAAGTTTTCAATCAGGATGCAACCCGGCAAAGAAAGAGAGGAACTCACCACTCCAATGTGCCATTCTTTGTGATCCAAGTTATTAAACTGCTTTTCATTAATTTCCTGCCAAAGGACATAACTACGGCTTCAGACGACTGTTCACCGCCCACTATACTGGAGGGGTTCAAGAGTACTTACAAAATCAAGAAACGTTTCAAGTATGCAGCAAATTGAGAGGAACAAGTACCATACCACACAGTAAATTGGTGGCAAGATACGTTGACCAGAGGGATGCAGAGTTGGAATAACGGTGAAAAATGGGGTCAGCTCTCTGGATCTGAAGGTCCATCTGCAGACAGTTTTTGCAAGACGTAAACATCCCGATAACATTTCCTGCCATTCAATTATAAAAATAGAAAGAGACAAGGAAGGAAGATAGCGGGAAGATGACAGGAGAGAATCATGACAGTCAAGTGGAATGTGCAAAATGAATAATCCTGGTTATTTTGGCAAAATAATCAGTAACTTTGCCACACGAATTCCTAATTAGGCATGTAGACTGCTTTACTTACACTTCAGCACGCAAGTGGATTCCTTATCGAGGTTTTCACTCAACAAATAGGATGCAACTGTTATAAGTACTCACCCAATGTAGAAGAAGATTCCAATCTCTACAAACTCTCGGAGAAGCAGGCGCACCCAATATTCCTTGCCTATACCATCAGCCAGTCCATACATCTGCCCACGATGAAGTAGCCTAGAAGTTAGATATCATTCCTAACGCAAGAGTTCCACCAAAGAAGCCTAGGCTGAGAAGAGGGGCAGCATGTTTTAACATAGACTAGGCTGTGCAATTATAGCTAGTGTTTCCGAATCGTAACCCTCAAAATGCTGATGATTCTTTGTAGGATTAAGAAAAAACTAAAATCAAAAATCAAATAAAAGATCATCAGAGAGTTCAACCGCTCACCAAAATTTCAGCAACAGCCATTATCAGCATTGCACGCTGAAAATTTCTGCAACAAAAGTAAGAAGGAACACTTGAGACCAGATCTATCATACTCTAGACATCAGAGCAGTAGGTCGAGACTTACAATCAACGCAATAGAATGATGACTTGAGTTTCCTTGAATATGAAAACTAGATGGTTATTCGAAGAATTACTTGAACATAGTGTACTTGGTGTAAACAGCTGAATGCAACATGTGAATGCCCTCCTCCTGAATCTGCTGTAGCTGTGCTCTCAGTGCTGACAGGTTCCGAGCAACGTGTACAACAATGACGTAAAGAAGTAGCCCATAAATTAACACCACCAACACCTGCATGGGCAAAGAACAAGTGAGTTAACTGTTTGCCTAAATAGAAACTGTCTCACAAATGGCACGCCAGAAAATACTGTTCTGCGCAAATACACAGGAGTAGTCCCTGACAAATTAATGTTGGTTGTCTTTCGCAAGGCAGGAATATCTAAAAGACACAGCCCCCGTTCGCAATTCCTACGATTAATCTGCCAAGTTTAAAAGAACCTTATCATAAACTCTACAGTACGCCTGATATGATGAACCCAACCAGAACAACATCGAGCATTTAACACAAAGAGGGCCCCCTCACCTTGCTTGAATTCTTTCAACAATTTTCCAAGCACTAGTTCTTTAGAGCGCTATAAGTTCATCGTAGTCATGGAAAAAATCTATGCCCAAAATTTCTTTCTATTTCTTTTACGTCCAATAACAACAAGATAGCGCAGGCAAATTTAGAAGAAGAAGATACTCACACCAAATTGAGGAACAGCTGCTTTGTAACCAGTGAGGGTCAAGTACAAGAGCGAGGCAAGGCCGGCGATGCTACGGCGTTCAGTGATAGTAAGCTGCTCGTGCATAGTACAGTAGCCATGGGCGATCAGGAGGAAGGCAACAAAGCACGCAGTCTCGAAGAAAATTCGTGTTACAAAAACTCCAAAGGCTACCCAGAATGAGCAAGTGCTCAAGTTCAGGCACGAATACCTACAGAACAACTTACGAGTTAGGAAAGATAGAGTAGAGTACAGATTTTAAGCAACAGTTCTCTAAAATGTCACACAATCACAGGTTCGATGAAGACAACCAATAAAGTAATGATCAATGTAAAATGTGTACAAGTTCAGATGCATTTTAGCAGAGCTTGGGAGCTGAAAATCACATCGATGGTACCAATCTGTCCAGTGCTACCAAATGCGGTTATTCAATAAACACTGAATTTGCAAAATGTCCTGGCTAGCTTAGTGTCGAAGGAAAGGTACCAGAATATGAAGGAGAGGCCCAGGACAATCGCCTTGAGCATTGGGACAATTGTCAATACCCATTGCAAATTACTAGTCTGCAATTCCAACAGTCACCGTCTTGTCAATTCTCCGTCGAATGCGTCCAAGATAGAAAATGGACAAGACTCCACACCTCTCTGGCGTTGTACGAATATTTTGGTACTCGTTCATAATCAAATGGACTATATCACAAGTTCAGACCAGATGAATTACATCTTTTCAATTGCAAATTTCCGAAACGCGCCGCTGAGGGATACATCTTTACTGTTAATATACCAATCATTAACTATTAGTTGATTATTAACGACTTCCAAATGATTAAAATCTTTAAATTCACTGCTAGGTTGGAAGTAAACGACACAGTAGACGAAATATTTCCTCTGGAACACGATCACAAATTCCTAAAGAAAGCGGCACCAAAATGCTACAGCCTGCCATCCCTTCTTCGCAGCAATATGCTTAGCCTTCCCGTTCTACAATCTCTCCTATCCATTCTATTTTCTCGCTTCATAACTACCCGAAAGCTTCTAACAAGTAAAAATAAAATGAAAACCACTAGCGCGCTCTCCTCGTGAGATAGGGGATCCATTCTCATTGTGACAAGACAAACTTAGCACACTTCAATTCTTTCGCTACATTACAATACATGTAAATGGGTACTTTCTTAGCTTCAAAATTCCATATGTACTTTCGAAATCGTACCTGCCATTGCCGCTTGGTCCAAGTGTTCAGAGTCCACACACACACTAGTACCATCCACGTGACCAAGAGCCCAAAGAAGAGACAAGGCAGCTGCCTGTACGACTCCTCCCATGCGCTGGGGCTGGCGATCATAGGTTTCTGCACTTGCTCGATGGTGGAGCCCATCGTTTGCGAGGCCTACGGATAGCCCCACCACCTCAGCCTCCCCACTCTCGCAAGAAATTAAATTCTGCGGTCTGCACGCCAGTGGTTCGGCTAGCGATTCATCCTACAAGGTTTCACTACACATTTTCGTATCGTTCTGTACAACAAAGACGTCCCAGGTACAAAGATGGTGGTGCGTTTCTTCCTCCAAAAAGAAAGATCGTTGTGGAGCTGACTTCCAATTGCCCATAAAAACTAGCAACAAGTTAGCCGAGCCCCGATTAGAATGTCGCCATTCAGATAGTCCAAGATAAGTTTCTCAGCTTGGAACCACAATCGACTGTTGTTGTCTCCATGGTTAAACGCCCAACCCGGGATGACCTTCTCGCAAAGGGTATTCCGCCCTCGCACGCGCCTCCCAGAACACCTTTACCACGCAGTATTACAAATTTGACAGGAGCCCTGTCAAGAGGTGTGTCGAATAGAACAGAGTCAGGTCATTCGAATATCGAAAAAGGAAGTTGCCTTCTGCTCAAAACGCAATCCTCTTCCGCCCTGCAGAAACCCAGAACAGTGTCAAAGTCATGAACAACTCAAAGGTTTCCAAACTAACACCTCGTTTCCCCTCTTTCTCTTCATCTTCCTCTCGTTCTTTCTCTTCCTCTCATCCGTCAAAACTAATCAATTCATCCCACAAGAAAAAACCCCCTCGCGGAATTCAAACGCAATCAGTCCTGAAGAAGAGTCACGCCCTTCTCTCGGACATCTCAGGTTTCGATTAACCCACCGAAACCTATCATAACAAAGTAAGAATGAAACATCCAACAATGCTTCAACACTTCCAGTACTCCAAATTGAAGGAGTATCTGCACACATGAGCTGATGAGACAACGAAAGCGAGCACTTGATTACCTGAAACTCTGCCTATGTACAAATACAACTATCGCACATCACTGAACTTCAATTTTCAAGACAAGGAGCTCGACATTGAAGCTCGGTCACCTTCCAACACAAGTAGCTGCAGCGAGTAATGACGAGACACGACCACATTTGTATAGCATTTACTACACCACCGCTCTCAACTTCTCGGATCACCCCCCTCCCCCCAGATTCAACAGCAAGTTCTGGTCACCATCCCTCACCCCCCTCCCCCCAGATTCAACAGCAAGTTCTGGTCACCATCCCCCCCCCCCCCCCCCCGCAGACAACAACAAACCATAATTACATCCTCAACAGTAATCCCCTCCAGCGCAACGTCTTTCTCCCCCATGATAAACATAATCCCCTTCCTGACGAAATCTACGTCAAAAGAGTCCTCACAGTAAAATTCATCGTAATAAGTCTCCGAGGATTGTTTTACCAGTTGGACAAAACACTCACACCATTTAGGGTTCCCAACTCATTCTAATTCTGTAACAAGCTGTTCGCATGATTAGTGAAAAATAATACTGTGTACTTGGTCGGGATTCAGCAGCGTAAACTGTGGGACTTGAGCGTCAACTATTAGACCTAATCAACAGAGATTCACTCATCAGCACTGGCCCCACAATATTACATTGAATTAGTCTAGGTTTATAGGAATTTGTGGCTACATGATTGCAGTATGATCAAAAGCTTCAGTGGGGGGATAATACAACTTTATTGTTACTGTTGAGAGCATTCCATTCCTCTCAAGAAGTGCAACTTGATGGGATGTTCGATTCATTTATTAAACGAATAAATGATAAACGAACACTGTCCCAGCTTGATTGTGTGAATTTGCTGGGAGCCAATTCGTAGACTCCAAGCACGAAAAAAACTTTTCCCCGATGGCAGAATAGGACAAACGGGGTTGCTAATCCAAATGACCCAACGGCTTAGTTCCGCATCTCAATCCTAATTTGCCGCACGAAAAAGGTCCTTCGAACTCTGTTTTTCTTCATTCGGGCAAGGCGCGACATCTTTAGGGTGGATAAGAAATAGCTACGAAATCCAAAATAATATTCACCTGGGCATGCAAGTATCCTCGCGCCCGCAGCCGGTGTCAGTGCGTTGCAGGGCCTGCTGCTCACTGCAGTACTCTTATTATTAACCCAGTAGAAAACAAAGTAGCAAATCACCTACTTTCATAGCTTCTTCAACACCCATCAAAACCCTTCAACCAAACGAACTCCACACTCACCCCCACCCAGCAACCAGTTCAATCAAGTCACGCAAACTCCCCCCCACCCGACGACTGCGTCCCACGGAATCAATTATGCTACTACAAGAATCATTCTTCCAAATGCACGTCTACACTTGTCACAATAACAAATTACAGTAATAAAGAGAAAGATGAAAAGGAAGAAGGGGAAAAAAAATACTGGGTGGCCACGACGATCTAGTAAAACCACATCGGCAACACGTAAGCTAAGAAGAGGATCCCTTAGCCCACAGAACAACTCAGCAACGAGCAGAAAAAAGAACTAGATGATCGCTACTAAAGTTAGCGGCACTCTCGAGATGATGAATAATGGGACGGTGGGATGAGAGCTTACTGTAAATAACGAACGATGAGTCTCAGGTGCTGCAGAATGTGCAGGGCCGAGAGAGAAGGAAGCGCACACTCACTCACACACACACTCACACAAACACAAGTACAGACACACATAACAAGGGATTTGCGGTGTTCTGTGAGAAAGAATGGAGCTAAAGCTAGAGGTGCTCTACAGCAGATCCATAGGGCTTACGTGGCCCCCACCCAGTTGCGAATTCCTCGCCCCCATGTGTTCCTTATCAGAACCCTGAATGCTATTTCTGGTACCAAGTCTGTTACCAGATATATCCTGGCAACACTCCTTGTAACTCAAGCAGCTAGGGGTGGATTTGATTCGATTTTTTTCCCTTTGTTGTGATTGTTGCTCTGCTATTGGGTGCGTGGTGCTGGACCCAAAGTGGAGTTGTATCTGCTGAACTGGGGCTGATAAATATTAAAAAAAAAAAAAAAAAAAAAAAAAAAAAAAGTGTTAATTGTGTTTAGATTGTTATAAAAAAAAATTGGCCCCCTTGAAGCAACTGTGGTCTCTACTATCCACACATGGAAGTCATTTCTTAATATTGACTTGTGTGTTTGACTCTTATTGAAGCCTTCAGCAGCAGTGGGCAATAAATAATCCATGTGGCCAAGGGGATTTTGATACTATGTGTCCATGACTCTTTTTTTCAATTCCACAAAGAATTCTACAAAATAAAATAAAAAATTGCTCTAGGGTTTTGGTAATTTTTCCATCACATGTTGCATACTCCTCCATACAGACACAAAGTGAAGTATGAATTAAGTGATAACTATTGCTATTTAGTTATTTACTTAGTTCCATTGTGACAATCAAGTTACTTAAGCATTTGCCCATGTTTTGAATGAAAAGGTTGTAAATATTTCCCTCAGTGAATTGTGATCAGATAATGACTTTTTGCCTGGACTAAGGTTCTGCTCTTTCAAACTTTTTGAGAGGAATGGTGCATAAAACAAACATATAAACATCATGAGCATGATCTGGGTTCAATATTTGTAAGGATTTTTAATAAGATAAATAATAATAACCATAATGTAGCCCCTCTCTCTTACTTTTATTTTATTTTACTTTATTTTTTATTATTTTTTTGAAATCGTCAAAACCCAATCAATTCGAATATACCCGGTTCGAGAATCTTCTTACAACAATAATAGACTTCATATATATTTTTTGAATCAGTCATACAATCACAATTAAAAGAATAATCATAGTCATGAAGTATCTGAAATACAAAAAAGCATGTAAAACCTTCCACAGTGAACTCATTGGAAAAGCGTTTAAAAGCCATTTTCTGGATAATTTTTATCACCATGTTAGGTATGTAATATGTGATTTTTATTCCTATTCGAATGAACATAAAATCAATATAATTTGATTGTCCACGTCAAAATCTGTGTTAAGAAGTCTTGCTAAAATTTATAAATAAAAGTTTGCACCAATTAAAAACAAAGAAAACTTTATTTACAATAAAGTAACTATTTTTTCTTTTAATATGATTCTTTTTACAGAACAGTAATGGTTTCTTCCTGTTTCTTTTAATAAACAATTAAAACTTTTTCAGAATAATATTTTCCTATTGTTTTTATGATGTAATTATGCTTTAATCATGCAATTCCAACCTTGAATTAGTCCATGCTTTGATCGTAGACAATATACTCTTAATCTCAAGTGTTCCCTGTATTATGAATACTAATTAAGGAAAAAAATTATTATTGTCCAGCAAGCTGTGAGACTGAATTCCAGATCCCAGGTCCTAAGTACGCAATATAAAATTCTAACCCATTCAGAAAAAAAGAATGATTCGACACCTAAAAACGAATCAGGACCCGAGGCTTAACAAACACAATTAACATAACCCCTTTAATAATAATAACAATGACTTGTCAATATAAAATTAAACGAGGATATTCCGTGTGTACAGCTCAGTTACTCAGGGTTAATTTTATTTTAAGCAAAATCAGGTTTCCATCCAAATTTCTTTTTGACATTTAATATCAACCCACTTCACCTACTTTGTAGTGAAAGCTTATCCATCCACTTGGGCAATGGCCCCAAAACGAATGAAGATGTTGAATTTGGATGAATAACAATGATATAAATATAAATATATATACATATATATATATATATATATATATATATTGGCATAGATGGATAGATAGATAGATAGATAGATAGATAGGGTAAACTGGACAAAGAGGATGGGGATCCATGGATATAATGACGGGGATGGAGATGATTTTAGTGCCCCAACTGGCAGCCCGAAGAATAGGGATCCCCCTTATGCATGGATTCATGGATAAGGAAGGGTGAAGTAGCCATCACCATTTTATCAATTCCAGTTGGAACTGACGTCGTGGGGCCTGCAAAAGATGCCCCAAAGGTGGACGATTCTATCCTGGAAAAGGTGACCATGAGTGGGTGAGTGAGTGAGTGATTTAGAGAGAGAGAGAAATGGAGTGATTCATTCCCATATGTGACAAATGATTCTTTGCTTATTGAGGTGGCATTATATATATATATATATATATATATTAAATAGCAGTTGACTATCTGTTCGTGGTGTGAAAATTGTGCTTCGGAGCAACCTTATCTTTACTATATTATATTTACATTTATATTTTATATATATATATATTTTATAAACATTTATAAACATATATAAACATATAAACATATATTTATATTTTATAAACATATATATATATATATATATATACATATGTTTCAATTTTATTTGTGTTTGCCTTTTTGAAACAGGCCAAGTAACAAAATCTGGAAGTCCTGAGTGATTAGATAACTGGTCAACAGCAGTGAGTGGATTGCATTGGTTTGTGTGATAATTTTTGCAGCTTTTTTCTTGTCTTGTCTTCTCCTTTTTATTTCCTTCATTGGTCGGAGGAAGATTTAATAGACCTGAATCCACCAGCTGTTCTTGTAACAAATATCAATAAGGAAAGAAGAAGAAGAAGAAGCAAAAAGTGCCAAAACAGCTTTGGTATTACTAATTAATTATTATTATTATTATTGTCATTGGGCAGATTTTACGCTGTACAATAATAGCACTTTGGTCTCTGGGTTGGACTACTTACCAATTAACATGGTGATGCAAATAAGTCCAATCTGTGATCCTTTTGGTAAATTTGAAGGTATACTTCACATTTCTTACAAGTATAAAAAATAAAATGCCATTGGGGGCATTAAGAAAATGAAGGACTTCATTACCTTTATAATTAAATCTTAAAACATCATTAAATATTTTTTTATATTGTTGCAAAGAATATACAATCTTTCTTAAAAAGAAAGAAATAGAATATACATACATACATACATATAGAGTTCAAACACAGAAAATCAAGGAGAAAACAAAACAAAATAAAAGAGACATCTTAAAATCAAAGATAAGTTATTTGAAGCTAGAACATATAACATCAAGAATGATAAAGGAAAGCACATCATCAAAAAAATTCATTGTATAATATATACATACATAATGTAGAATCAAACTATTAAATTCTATACAACAATCCAGAAAATTGGCAAGAGTACATTATCTGTGTAAGTTAG